ACATAATGGAATCTCCTTGGACGTGGGAAAGACATGCGCTGCATGGGCACTCGGGCTGCTGAGCTTCTCGTCAGTACTAGGCTCAGAGTCATCAACGTTATCAACGTGGGCCTGGCTCAATACTCCCCCGCAAGCTGGAGCGTGAAGATCCCGAACGTGCAGCTTGGACAAGAGAAATCGAAAACGATCAGTACCAAGGCCTTTGGTGAGAAGATCCGCCAGTTGAAGAGTAGATGAAACCTTGACAGGAAGAATGTGGCCCGACTGAACTCGCTCACGAACAAAGTGACAGGTCATCTCGACATGTTTAGTGCGCTCATGAAAGACCGGATTATTGGCAATGTGAAGGGCCGCCTGGTTATCACAATGGAGAGGAGTCGGACCAGACTGAGGTACACCAAGTTCCTGGAGCAACCAACGAAGCCATATGATCTCGCTGACAGTACTGGCCATAGCCCTGTACTCCGCTTCGGCCGAGGATCGAGCGACAACTCGTTGCTTCTTGGTTCGCCAAGAAATGGGAGCACCGCCTAGTGTGATGAAATAGCCAGTCATGGAGTGACGCGTACTCTGGCAACCGCCCCAATCGGCATCACAATAAGCAGTGAGACGAAGGGGAGCATCATTAGGAAAGAAAAGACCCTGACCAGGAGAGCCTTTAATATAACGCAGCACCCGAAAAGCAGCATCTAAATGTATCTGACTGGGTGCGTGAACAAACTGGCTGAGGATATTAACAGCATAAGTGATGTCAGGACGCGTGATGGTCAGGTACAAGAGACTACCAACCAAACGTCTGTATAGAGAGGGGTCTGGTAACACATCATCAGTGGATTTTGTCAACTGATGATTCTGCTCAACTGGGAAGGAACTAGGCCGGGACCCCTGAACACCTGCATCTTCTAGGATGTCGAGAGCATACTTCCGCTGGTTGAGGACGACACCAGTGGATAAGCGAGCAATCTCAATGCCCAAGAAGTAGCGAAGAGGGCCGAGATCCTTGATGCTAAATCGAGCATCAAGAAACTGTTTAACACGATCAATGAATGGTAAATCATTTCCGGCCAGAAGTACATCATCCACATAGATGAGAGCTGTGACAAAAGTGCTCCCCCGCTGGTAGATAAACAAAGACGCATCAGCTGGAGAAGACCGAAAACCAAACTCGAGTAAGGCCAAGGTGAATTTCTGATACCAATTGCGAGAAGCCTGTTTCAAACCATAGATGGATTTGCGTAGCCTACAGACTCGGTTATCACCAGGTGCTCGAAACCCTTGAGGAATAGTCATGTAAACGTCCTCCTCAAGATCACCATGGAGAAAGGCGTTGTTAACATCCAATTGATGAAGATGCCAACCACGATTAACTGCAACTGCGATGAGACAACGAACGGTAACCAATTTTGCAACCGGGGCAAATGTATCATGGAAATCAAGGCCTTCAATCTGGGTATAACCCTTGGCTACCAGTCGCACCTTGAATCGCTCAATACTGCCATCAGGGTAGAATTTGATTTTAAAAACCCATTTTGACGAGATGGCTCGTTTTCCAGGAGGGAGTTCCACGAGATTCCAAGTACCATTTTGCACGAGGGCCTGGATCTCTTTTGCCATCGCAGCCCGCCATCGAGGGTCGCGGAATGCTTGTTGAAACGTGGCTGGCTCCTCAATCCCGGTTAGTGCTGCAAGGAAAGCAAAATAGGTTGGTTTAAAACCATCATAAGAAACATAGGAGGAAAGAGGGTAGCGAACTGAATGGGAAGCACTTCCCTTGTGTTCATCAAGCGTGATGTAATTCTCTAGGTATTTGGGCCTCACGCGCACACGGTCACCTCGTCGAAGAGGCGGAGGCGAAGGCGTGGGACTGGCTGCAGCAGGAGAAAGAGGGGCAACCGAGTGGTTGCGGGCAGTGACTGGTGAAGTGCTTGAGCTGGGAGACACGGACTCGGCACTAGGGGAGGATGTGGGAGACTCGGATGTGTGAGACTCGGTAGTCGGCAAGGGACGAATCTCATCTTCAGACGTGAGGACATGTGGGTCCGAGAAAGATGCGTCATCATCTGGGGCAGAAAACACAGGCCGAGGCACCCAATGCAACTCTCGTTGCATGCCATGATGAAAGGGAAAAGAACTCTCGTGGAATTGAACATCACGAGAGGTTAGAACCTTGCGGGAGACCAAATCATAGACTCGAAATCCCTTCTGGGTAGGGGCATAACCAAGAAAAACTCCAGCTCTTCCTCGTTCACCAAACTTGTCTAGGTGGGCATGAGTGTCCTTATAATAAACCAAACAACCGAAAACACGCAGATGACGATAAGTAGCTGGCTTACCAAAGAGGAGCTCAAAAGGTGACTTGCCAGTAGCAGTGGTCGGCATGCGATTAAGGAGATAAACAGCTGTAAGAATGCATTCGCCCCAAAACCGGAGTGGAAGATTGGCCTGAAAACGGAGGGCGCGAGCGGTATCCAGGATATGACGATGTTTGCGCTCAACCACACCATTCTGCTGTGGTGTGTCGGTGCAAGAAGTCTGAAGTAAAATGCCCTCGCGAGAATAATAAGAACGTAGTGGTTCAGTATTGAACTCATAGCCGTTATCAGCCTGGATGCGTTTAACAGTTTTCCCAAACTGCGTCTTCACCATTTGTAAAAACTGTAAAAGATACCGAGCCACATCGGATTTGAACCGTAGCAGATATACCCAAACACTGCGAGTGAAATCATCCACAATAGTCAAGAAAAAATGGGCACCACTGAGAGAAGCAATCTTGTAACCACCTCAGAGATCAATGTGAATGAGATCAAAACTAGAAGATGTCTTAATCATACTTGTCTCAAAAGGAAGTCTAGACTGCTTAGCACGTGAACATGAATGACACGGCTGATTATTATGACCAAAAGACAAAGATAAAATCCGACCAATATAATTCTGTTTATCTATAGACGGATGACCCAGTCTAGCATGCCAAGTCGCGTCTGAAACCGATCGTCCTTGCTGCGCTGCACACACCTGCGCCTGCCCATGACCAAACAAGCGCAAGTAGTAAAGCCCATCCCGGAGCTCACCCTTCCCAATCAATTTCTTGGAGAGTAAGTCCTGAATAACACAAAATCCATCAAGAAACACCAAAGCCACACGGTTATCTTTGGTTAGTCTGCTAACAGAAAGTAAATTGCAGCGAAATTCCGGGACATGAAGTACTCTGCGTAATGTGAATCCCGGTTGAAGCTCAACTGAACCAACCAGTTTAACAGGAATACTCTCCCCATTAGGGATGCGAACAGGCTGTCCACTAGTGTGATTTTCGTGAGTCGATAATAACGATTCATCCATGGTAATATGCTCATTGCAACCAGAATCGAGCAACCATTCAGAACTATGAGAGAGTATACCTGCCATGTGCGCCGCTGGGTCTTCAGCAGCCTTATCAGGAAGATTGAAAAATTGCTTGAGTTGATTTAATTGGGCCACCGTAAATCCAGCAATGGGACTTTGATCAGCTGCGTCAACCTGGGAAGCTTTGGGTTCTCGTGTGTCTCGACCATCCCGACTGGATGCGTCACGCCCATTATCTCCGGAAGCACGAGGGCGACGGCGTGGTCGTTCCTACGGTTTGTTCCGATCACGGGGAGGGTATCCAATCAGTTCATAGCAGCTGTCACGAAGATGACCAATACGTTGGCAGTGTGTACAACGATGGCGTTCCCTCTCCCCCGAGCTACGATCACCGCTCCCATGGCTGGGTTTCTCAGAATGTCCTTGCGCGGCAAACGCGGCAGCTTCAGGTTGGTATTTCCGATTTTGTGAGATAAGTTTGTGTTGTTCAGCATGGAGAACAATATTGAAAGCTTCCCCAAGATTGGGAATTGGCTTCATAGCCAAGACCTAGGTACGAACGGCACCGAACACGTCGTCGAGGCCCATAAGAAAGTCAAAGAGTCTAGCTGTCTCTTGCTGTTCACGTACTCGGCGGGACACATCACAAGTACAATGACCACACGTACAGCTTGGAGTTGGCGAGATGGCCGCAGCTTCTTCCCACAATGATTTCAAACTCGTGTAAAAGGAGGAAACAGACTTCTTTTCTTGTTGTAGTAGAGAAATCAGGCGTCTTAATTCATATGCACGAGAGTAGCTACTTTGCCCAAACCTATCATGTAGATCAACCCAAATCTCACGGGCATGGGCAGCAAATCGAATACTACTTCGGATTTCTTTATCCATCGAAGTTTTGAGCCATCCCTTGACCATAGCATCACATCGAATCCATGCTTCGCGTTCCTTCGGATTCGTGGGCTTGATGATTGAACCATCGACAAAACCATACTTGTTCTTGGCCAGAAGGGCATCCTTCATGTCCAAAACCCATTCACCGTAATTGTTTGCGGTGAGAACATCCCCGACCAGCATGTTTCCTGGGCCGTCGGATTGGTGAAGTTGATAGACCGGCGGTAAATCATCGACGGCCTTTCCTTTCCCTGGCGGCGTCGCGACGGAAGACTCTTCGTCGGAGGCCATAGCGACAGGAAGATGAACACCTGGATCTTAATGCTCTGATACCATGTAAAACTTTGAATAACGAAATAACACAAGACACGATTTAACGTGGTATCCCCGACGAATCGGGACTAATCCACGGGAGAGCTTTGAATCTCTCCGGCTACTGATATTATTGATATGAGGGTTTTAACTTGCATACAAGCAAGCTCTCGGCTGCCCATTTATACTAGTAACTAGGGCTGCCTTAGGGTTACAACTCATCACACATAATGGAATCTCCTTGGACGTGGGAAAGACATGCGCTGCATGGGCACTCGGGCTGCTGAGCTTCTCGTCAGTACTAGGCTCAGAGTCATCAACGTTATCAACGTGGGCCTGGCCCAATATCCTCCATTTCTCCCCACCAAACACCTTCCATCTGCGGAGAATTCTGACAACATCTCTCACCTTCCAACTTTAAAATCAAAAGGCTAAGTAGCTTAACTAGAACAACAGAAATGGAAAGCGGGAACAAGGGCTCTTCAGCAGGAAGCAACAACAATCAGGCTGCATCTTCTGCAAAACCTGCTGCTGCTGCTGCTGGCTCCTTTTCTGCAGCAACTGGCTCTGGCACCATGAAGGCCCCTGGAGCTGACCATCACATTTTGAGGGCTGAGTTTGAGAAGAACCCTTCTGCCTACTTCCAGAATCTCCACAAGAAGTAGAAGAACCAGACTACTATATCTATATATGATATTCTGAAAATGGGGTAGCAGATGTATCATTATTAAATAAAGTTCCCTATTTCGTTTCTCTATTTTTCAGTTCTGCAGCAATCAACCTGAATGAAAAATGGCCTTTGTTTAATTATTTGAGCGCTTTCATTTGGACTCTGTTATCTTGTGGGGAAAAAATTTCAGCAAGAAGATCCTAACGAATGATCTGATTCCAATGGCGACAAATGTATCAGACTTTCAGACTACAAGCGTTTGTAACTCAAAATCAAAGTAACCTCTCGCACCTCCAAATGAGAAAAACACTTCATCTCAATCTCAGGTGACGCAAACAGAGGAGACCTTCCTAGCTAAAGTACATCCTTAATGCTCCAAGTAAATCAACAAAGGAAAGGCCCCAACTGCAGCCATTCCCAAGCCTTGATTTTGTACACACGTCAGGTCTTCCCCACACTATGAAAGTGACATCAACCATCTGTTAACCATCCACCTTCTTCATTTCCTGCAGTCTGCAGAGGCCACTCTGCTTCCCCTGTCCAGCAATCCATCACAGAAGGAAAATGGCCAGTCCCAAACACAATCCGACTAGGACTGCCGCAGGCATTAATCAAGAATCACAGTCTAATACACCAACTCCAAACCCTTTCACAAGTCACTGTGTTGCTTCAGTCATACGGCTCTATAATCACTATGATTAACAGTGGGAAACAATGTCCTGTGTGATTGATGTCTTTAAAGTTGTTTATGACTCACTACATATCGAAAGTCACATGTATTCTAATCGCAAGTATGTAACGGGTCCATACACGACTGACCAACAGTCTAGAGAATTAATAATTGAATCATGAAACACTAACTTTTTTAGCTCAATGTCGAGTCCAATAAAAAGTGAATATATATGGTTATTACTTATTAGAAATTCATCATTTTCCAGTATGAGATTTGAAGGCATGAAATTTTAAGCGAGTTCTAGTTTGTATTCCTTTTGCTTCTCTCTAGGGGGTGGTTTGGATTAGTGTTTTTAATGAGGGATTTGGACACAATCTCTCACAGTGAGGGATTTTAATTAAAATCACTCGTTTGGGAAACATATTTTTGATTAGAGATTTTAAACATTCAGAATTTCAAAAACCTACATTTGTGGGATTGTGAAATAGCTGATGACCACCAGCTATTCTGAAATCCCTAATTATTTTGCCAGTTTGTTCCATATATGCCCATGCTTTTTTTATATAAATCCAATTTTACCCTTTATTCCTATTAGCTGTTTTATATATTCTATTAACTCTTCGTTTAACCAATTCATTTTGTACTACCACCAACAGAAGGAGCTCGACAAGGCAGGACACTCAACCGTCGCCGACTCCATTGGGACGTAGCTCGTCGAGGCAGGTGAATCGTTCGTCGTCGGTGAGGCTTTGCAGCCCATAGCAATCGTCTTCATTCCAGCAGGTGAGTTCGCAAGTCCTTCTTCTCCTTTCTTCCTCCTTCCAGCGTTTTCGGAAGTTGCTTCGGAAGGGGGTTTTGTGCTTGCTTTGAAAGGGGGTCTTGTGCTTCTGGTTCTTTTTAATCAAGCTTGATACTTTTGTTTCTTTTTATTTGATCTTCGTGCTTCTATTTGTGCTTTACATTGAGGGGGAAAGGAAAGGAAATGATTGTTTGTAGCCTGCTGCTTCTCTTTGTTTAATGCATCAAATTGCTCCTTTTGACTTGTTTGTGGTTGGCTGCTTCTCTTTATTTGAGGTACTTATTAGATGCTTGTTTAATTTACTTGTGTACTTAAATTTCTCTTTTGAAATTGTTGTGTATCTGTGTTGTTTAGTGATGGGAAAAAGGAAGGCTGTGGAAGGTGAAAAATCTGGATACACCTTCTGGCCAGAGAAGTGTGATAAACCATTTGTGGAGTGCATTTTGGAGTGTGTTGAGAAGCGGCTCATAGTGGATGGCATTTGTAAGAACGGAGTGTATGGTATTCTTGAGAAGATGATGTTGGAAAAGGTTCCGGGCTGTGGAATAAGAGCTAAGCCGCATATAGAGGGTCGATTCAAGAAATGGAAGAAGATATGGCATGCAACGACACTTATGAGAAATCAAAGTGGATGGGGATGGGATGAGATTAATAAGTGTGTCATCTGTCCAGATGATCAGTGGCCTGCATTCGAGCTGGTAAGCCTATAAAATTGGTGCTTGATTTATGTCTGTCTTTTTGGTTATTGACACTTCTTTGTGGTTGTCCATCTTATTGCAGAAGCATCCAAACTGTGGTGGTCTGAACAAGAAACCATTTCCGGTTTATGATGACCTGACACCAGTATTCTGCAAAGGTCGTGCAACTGGAGATCATGGGGTTGACACCAATGATCCAATCTGTTTGGATGGAACATCAGCAGAAGAGTATGACATTCCAAATCCTGACTATGACGAGGTGACTGTTGAGCTGATGGAGGAAATCAATGCAGAGTTAGCTGGTCAAAAAAAGCAGCCTGCAAGTGTGACTGCTTCAATGGATGGTGCTCCACTGAAAAAGAAGAAGAAAAAGGGTATGACTGTTGAAGAACGCCTCACTGATGCAAGTGGAGAAATGAGAGATCTCCGTCCTCTGATTAAGCAGTCCGTTGATACAATTGCTAGGGCACTTGGGGAAAGTGATGAACTGAATACTAAGCGAGATAATCTGGTGCAGAGTTTGGAGCAGCTTGGTGGGCTTACCAGAGCTGAGATCCTTACTGCAATGAGGCTGCTTTCCAACAATGATCGAGACTTGATGGCATTCTATAGGTTAGAAGACATATTAGACAAGATGATGTTTGTGAAAGGGTTGCTAGGTTGAGATCAGTGTTAAGATTAAGTAATCTGGACTTGTATGCAAGTCTTTTTGAGGAGTATGCTGCCAAAATGACTGAACATAATTGCAGACTGCTTGGTAGTGGTAGTTCATGGTAATCCCAGCTCGTACATGGAGCTTATTTTGGGGATTGCATTGAGCTTTGTTGGTATTGCTTATTCTGCTTTTCTAGGTGGCTGGATATGGATTGTAACAGGTGGTTTTGTTCCTGGATTGAATCTATGATTTTACGTTAATTTCCATTTCTTGTGCGTGTGGTTGAATTTATTTTCCTTTTCAGTATTGTCTCACAGTAGATGAGTTTTGAGTTCTGCATATTTCTTTTGTTTTATAATGACTCTGCAGGGTGCATTTAGTTATCATTGTGATTCTGAATGCTTGATATATATATTGACCACTTAATTAACCATTTGAAGAAGTAACAATGTTCCCCCTGGAGGCAAAACAAATCAATTACATATCACACCAATTCAATTACACAACAATTCAATAACATGTCAAACCAACTCCATACCAATTCAACGCCAAGTCTAAAAAATGAAGCAATATGAGTTCTTTAACTCTGGGGTTGGACGGAATGGATCAGGGGAGGTATTGGGGAATGGAAAGGAATGGAAGGTTAGGTTAAGGAGTTTGGCCATCTTCCCACAATGAACGGTGAAGAAGAACTCGACAAATAGTGCAGGGAGAGTGAGGGAAGGACTGACGGGGAAGAAGAGCTCGCAAAGACGAAGGAGGAACCCACTTTTCTGTTCTTGTGTTGTTCTCTTCCCTCGTGTACAGATAAGCAGATTTGAAGGGTAAAATTGTCATCCACCATTTTTGTTTTATAATCCCATATTTGTTGCCAAACGAGTGATTTAACAGAGAATTCCACATAAATCTCTCGAATTAAAAACCTGGGTTTTTAAACAAGTGATTTAATCTAAAATTCCTTTCAAATCTCTTGAATTAAAAACCTGCATCCAAACCACCCCTAGAGGTTTTCTTTTTCACCCGGGTAGAATTTTGGCAAAATACATCTGTATAGCCAAAATTTTCGCGTTTGTGACAATAATAGCCAATTTTGGAGAAATACCACTTATAGCCAGATTTTGTACTTGTTGTATGACAAATCTAGCCATTTCCGTCAAATACTTAAACGGTGTTACAACTTCTTTGACGGATTGCTGACTAGACTCCCACCCAGCACACATGTCAGCGCCAAATAGATCGAAAGTGACACATCATAATTTAAATTTATTTAATAATTACACGTCATAAATTAATAAAAAAATTACTAAAAAAATCCCCCTTCTCCACCATCGTCCCTTTCTTCTTCTCCTCTTCCTGAACCCCCTTCGACGATAGTTCCCGGCATCGGCTTTTCAGTCGAAACAAAGGGGAAATCCAACCGCCCTGGTATCCTTTCCTCAATGGTGTCGATTCAATAGGAGGAGATCTAGGGTTGATTTCTAGCTGCCTCCCTCCCAAAAACTCAGAAACCTTCCTTCTTTGTCTTCGTTGATGGAGATGAACTCTGCAAATCCCATCCAACTTCTTCCCCTCAAGCACCTTCTTCAACTGCCCTTTCGGTCCATGATTTGTCCTTCTATATCGTCGATGCAACCGCCGCTCTCCGCAACCTCATTCTCCCCCGTCTCCCTCCTCGCTATCCAACTCCCCATCCCCAACACTCATACGACCGCAACATCACCACCTCTGAAAACCAATTTAGCCCCACTTCAAACAACATAGAAACCATCTAGTTTCGAATCCGACATTCAATCAAACAGGAAGGCAAAAATTGAAAAAGCCCCAATTGAAAAACCTTCCAGATCTGATACGGGGTAGCGGCGGCCCGGAGGTCTACGACGGTCTCAATCTCTCCGGCAACCCCAGTGTACCGGATAAATCAGAACGGGAGCTCCATCGACACAGCCTTTTCGATCTTTCGCTGAAAGGCAGAGGAAATCATGAGAGGAACTCGGAACGTCGAGGAGGAATATCATCCGCCATCCACCTCCTCCGGTAGTACCGCACCGCTACATCCACCGATGGTGACCGCTTCTCCTCCCCCAATCCGCCTCCTACCCTGCTCCCGTATCCAACCCATCATCACAAGTTATTCAATTGTAGCGGATCTGTTGGGTATTTGCGGAAGTAATGGTAATTTTGGATCAAGACAAAGGAAACATTTGGTGTTTAATCACTCAATTTAGAAAAACACACTCAACTAAACAAGGCTTTAACTTTTGGCTCTTGCTTGTTACATACATACACACTGCAGAGAGCTCTTTCTTTTCTATTATTATGTTTCTTGCCCATGCTTTCTGACCACTTCCCATTCCATCCTTACACATATATAATGAATGAGAAAAGAGTACAATAATGATATGATGACCCATGTAGTAAATGGATTTGGAAGCTATTCTCCTCCAATTCTCTAACAGACGACAAGTACACATGCATGAATTAATACAAACAACCAATCATGTTCTCATGCATTAGTAGTGCATTATTTATTTGTCTCCTCTCTTCAAGTGGCTGTCCATGGAAACTATACTTGAGTTGGTGTGCCTTCTCATCACGTCAATTATGAGGCTCCAAGTTGATATGGATCATTTAATCATTCAGGCCTACCATGTGTGTTGTTTTAACTCATTTTACCTTTAATTGCAAATTACCGTTTGACACCCCCTCTTAATTTGCAAATTGAAGTAGCTCCTTGAACCTCTCGAACTTCTCACGGGTGACCGCCTTTGTCATGATATCTGCTGGCTGCTCGTCGGTGTTGATAAATTCCATCACGATTAATCCTTCGTTGACGAGGTCTCGAATGAAATGATGACGCAACTCGATATGCTTCGATCTTGCGTGAAATACCGGATTTTTTGTCATGGCTATGGCTGACATGTTGTCACAGTGAATAATGGTTGGACCATTTTCACTTTGCTGCAAATCAGAAATTAATCTTTTTAGCCATACTGCTTCGCATGCTGCATCTGTAGCTGCGATATATTCTGTTTCTACTGAGGATAATGCCACAGTCTTCTGCTTCTTTGAACTCCAGGAAATGGGTTTTGAACCCAAGCAAAATATGTAGCCCGGATGTGCTTTTTCGATCATCTAGTGATCCTGCCCAGTCACTATCGGTATATCCAGTCAGTTTGCTTTCTGCTTCTTTCTTGTACATCAGGCCCAATTTTTTTGTACCTTGAAGATACCGCAAAATTCTTTTGGCTGCTGCAAAATGAAATTTGCTAGGTTCATTCATAAATCTTGATATAAGACTTACTGAATGACATATATCTGGCCTTGTATGTGTCAGGTAAATGAGTGACCCGACAAGACTTCTGTACAGCTTTCCATAGACTTTTTCAGCTCCATCATTGCGTTGTAATTTCTCGTTTAACGCCATCGGTGTTGAGATTGGTTTGCACATTGCCATGTGAAATCTTTTCAGCATATCTTCGGTGTACTTCTCCTGTGAAATAAATATTTCTCCTGGTGTCTGCTTCACTTGGATCCCAAGAAAATATTTCATGAGTCCCAAGTCCGTCATCTCGAATTCTTTCATCATGGTACTTTTGAATTCTTCGATCATATGTTGATTTGTACCTGTGTAAATCAATTCATCAACATACAAACAAACCCTTAGAAAATCTTTGCCTTCTCCCTTTTTGATGTAGAGAGATTCTTCACTCAGACTTCTTTGAAATCCGTTTTGCTGAAAATATCGATCAATTCTGCTGTTCCAGGCTCTCGGTGCTTGCTTCAGCCAGTATAAAGCCTTGCGAAGACGATAGACTTTGTCTTCTTCTCCTTTTTTCTCATAGCCTCGTGGTTGCTCCACATAGACTTCTTCTTCCAGTTCTCCGTTCAGAAATGTTGATTTGACATCCAGCTGGTATACTGGTAACTCCAGTTGAGCAGCTAGAGTGAGAACTGTTCTGATGGTCTCCATCCTCGCTACTGGTGCATATGTCTCGTGAAAATCAATACCGGGCTGTTGTGAATAGCCCTTTGCCACCAGTCGAGCTTTGTACTTCTGGATAGTACCATCTTCATTGAATTTGATCTTATAGATCCATTTGAGACCTATAACCGGCTTGCTCTCCGGTTGGTCAACAAGCTCCCATGTCTTGTTTTTCTTGATCATGGAAATTTCTGCATCCATTGCCTCGTTCCAAACTTCTTCTTTGGATGCTTCTTCAAAGACTTGAGGTTCACAAGAAAAATATGCAACATGACTTGTTTCATAAATTTCTCGCAAAGACCTTGTTTTTAACGGAGGTGAATCGGAGTCTGTTACGACGTCTCTGAAGTCGTCTTTTTCTGGGCTAGGTGCATAATTTCTTTCTGGACTTGCAACTGGATCTGGGTTGTTGCTGGGATCTTCTGGGATTGCTGAATCCTCCAGAATTTCATAACTTGGTGGAGATTGAGAAATTTCATTTTCCCAATTCCACTCCACCATCTCATCAAAGATCACATCTCGGGAAACCACCACCTCGTTCTTTACTGGGTTGTAAAGACGATAGCCTTTGGATTCATCACTGTAGCCGGTGAAAATCAGCTTCTCACCCTTCTGGTCAAACTTGTCTAGGTTTGGGGTAGAGATATGTGCATAAGCTATGCACCCAAAGACTTTGAGGTGATCCACCTATGGCCTCCTGTGGTGCCACGCATGTATCAGTGTCTTGTTCCGAACTGCTTTGGTTGGTGATCTATTGAGGATGTAAATTGTTGTATTGACCGCTTCTGCCCATAAGTTGTTGGGAAGCTTCTTAGCTTTGAGCATACTTCTCGCCATCTCCACAATCGTGCGGTTTTTCCGTTCTGCCACGCCATTTTGTTGTGGTGTGTAACGGACCGTCAGCTTTTTTGATTCCGTTGTTGCTGCAATACTCCATGAATGGAGTATAAATAAATTCTCCTCCACGATCTGTACGGAGAGTTTTGATTTGATGTCCGCTTTCCTTCTCAGCTACTGCTTGGAATTG